AAATGCTCACCATCTCTAGCAGTCAGAGAAATGCAAATCAAAACCACCCTAAGATACCATCTCACTCCAGTAAGATTGGCAGCCATTATGAAATCAAACAACAAGTGCTGTCGAGGATATCGGGAAAAGGGTACACTTGTACATTGCTGGTGGGACTGCAAATTGGTGTGGCTAATTTGGAAAGCAGTATGGAGATTCCTGGGAAAGCTGCAAATAGAACCACTATTTGACCCAGCTATTGCCCTTCTCGGACTATTCCGTGAAGACCTTAAAAGAGCGTACTACAGGGATACTGCTACATCGATGTTCATAGCAGCACAATTCACAATAGCTAGACTTTGGAACCAACCTACATGCCCTTCAATAGATGATTGGATAAAAAATGTGGCATTTATACACAACAGAGTATTACACAGCACTAAAAAATGACAAAATCTTGGAATTTGCAAGGAAATGGATGGCACTAGAGCAGGTTATGCTAAGAGAAGCTAGCCAATCCCTAAAAAACAAATGCCAAATGTCATCTTTGATATAAGGAGAACAACTAAAAAAAGAATAGGAAGGAAGAGCATGAGAAGAAGATCACAATTAAACAGAGTCGAGAGGGGGAAGGGAAATAGAGAAAGAAGGGAAATTGCATGGTAAAGGAGACCCTCATTGTTATACAAAATTACATATAAGAGGAAGTGAGGGGAAAGGGGTAAAAAACGAGAGATAAATGAATAACAGTAGATGGGGTTGAGATAGAAGATGGGAGGAGAGGGGAGGGGAGGTAAGGGGGATAGTAGAGGATAGGCAGGGCAGCAGAATACAATAGACACTAGTATGGTAGTATGTGTGGATGTGGAATGGATGTGAATCTGCAATATGTATACGGGGTAAAAATTGGAGTTCATAATCTGCTTGAATCAAATGTATGAAATATGATATGTCTGAGAGAACGAGGAGGAAGGAGAGAAAATGGTGTCTACAGATTACAGTACCTACAACCAAGTTGCAGCCCAGCAGGGCTACAGTGCTTACACTGCCCAGCCAACTCAAGGATATGCACAAACCACCAAGGCATATGGGCAACAAAGCTATAGAACTTATGGACAGCCTACTGATTTCAACTATACCCAGGCTCATCCCACTGCCACCTATGGGCAGACTGCATATGCAACTTCTTATGGAAAGCCTCCCACTGGTTATACTACCCCAACTGCTCCCCAGGCATACAGCCAGCCTGTCCAGGGGTACAGCACTGGTGCTTATGACACTACCACCACTACCATCACCACCACCCAGGCCTCCTATGCAGCCCAGTCTGCATATGGGACTCAGCCTGCTTACCCTGGCTATGGGCAACAGCCAGAAGCCACTGCACCTGCAAGAAGACTGCAGGATGGTAACAAGCCCGCTGAGACTAGTCAACCTCAGTCTAGCACAGGGGGTTATAACCAGCCTAGCCTAGGATACGGACAGAGTAACTACAGTTATCCCCAGGTTCCTGGAAGCTACCCCATGCAACCAGTTACCGTGCCTCCATCCTATCCTCCTACCAGCTATTCCTCTACACAGCCGACTAGTTATGATCAGAGCAGTTATTCTCAGCAGAACACCTATGGGCAACAGAGCAGCTATGGACCGCAAAGTAGCTATGGTCAACAAAGCAGCTATGGGCAGCAGCCTCCCACTAGTTACCCCTCGTCCCAGACTGGATCCTACAGCCAGGCTCCAAGTCAATATAGCCAACAGAGCAGCAGCTACGGGCAGCAGAGTTCATTCCAACAGGACCACCTCAGTAGCACGGGTGTTTATGGGCAGGAGTCTGGAGGATTTTCCGGACCAGGAGAGAACCGGAGCATGAGTGGCACTGATAAGCAGGGCAGGGGAAGAGGGGGATTTGATCATGGAGGCATGAGCAGAGGTGGGCGGGGAGGAGTATGCGGTGGAATGGGCAGCGCTGGAGAGCGAGGTGGCTTCAATAAGCCTGGAGGACCCATGGATGAAGGACCAGATCTTGATCTAGGCCCTCCAGTAGATCCTGATGAAGACTCTGACAACAGTGCAGTTTATGTGCAAGGATTAAATGACAATGTTACTCTTGATGATCTGGTAGATTTCTCTAAGCAGTGTGGGGTTGTTAAGATGAATAAGAAAACTGGGCAACCCATGATCCACATCTTCCTGGACAAGGAAACAGGAAAGTCCAAAGGCTGCTGTGGAGTTGTTTGATGGAAAAGATTTTCAATGAAGCAAACTAAAAGTCACTCTTTTTTTTTTCTCTTAAGAACAATACATTTAATACATTCACAGGATTCCAAATGAAAACAACATTACTCATGCTATATGTTTTGAGTTTTCCTTGGACAACACAAAAAACACAGTACTCAACCTTGCGTTTTCACCAGAGGAATGTGAAATCTCATTTTGACACATATACTCTCATTTTGACACATAAACAAGTTTAAAGAAATAAAAACAACATTAAACTACTGCAGCACCAGCTGACTTCCTTCAGTCTCCACTCAAAAAACACAGAACTCAACCTGTGTGTTTTCATGGGAGGAATGTAAAATCTCATTTTGACACAAAGACAAGTTTAAAGAATTAAAACAACCTTGAACCTATTGTGGTACCAGCTGACTTCCTACAGCTTCCACTCTGTCCCACACCACACCACCCACAGCTGCACAGGGAACTCTCCCCCTCCACCCTTGTTTCCTCAACAGAAAATTAAATATTTAGAGGTATGTCACTGAATTACTATAACATCTAAAAAAAAGCAAATTTATTTGTTGAAAGAGAGGAGTAAGATTTGATGATGCTTAAAGGGCATAGGGAAAACTATTCACATTTGTCTCATTTCTTCACTCTGGTTTTAGAAAATAGGATTGTGCCCAAAGGAACTAAAGATGCCAAGAAATACCCCAAACACTAATTATAAAGAAGGACTATGCTAATTTTTATAAAAAGCTTATGATAATGTGGAAATATATTTTAGTTATAAAGTTAAATGTAAAAGTAGGATACAAAACTGTATATGCATTATGATCTCAACCATGTCAAAAGCAATAAAACAAAATATGCCCTGTAAGAGGCTGAAAGAAATTAGTTGAAAAGGTTAACAGCAGTTGTATTTAAGTAGTGTGCCTACTGGGATTTATTTTTTCTTTTTTTAACTTTCCTGTCTCTTCTAAATTTTCTCTCATGGAAGGATTTTTTTTCAAAAAATATTAATTACAAAGAAGTAAGTCTGAATTAAGTTTTAAATTTGAATTCAATCTATAAGAAAGGATGTGAACGTTCATAAAACTGTAAAACGTTCCAGGCTCCTAGACAATCCCACTGTTGGGAGTAACTAGCCTGAGGGTAGAGGGGTTTGGATTCTCCACATCCCAGGAAAAAGTGTGACCAGGTCCTACTGACGCAAATGCTGAACTGAAGAGAAATGTAATGGTTTTACATAAAGGAACAGATATCCATGCCTGGCAACAACTTTTTTATAGTAGGAGCTCTTCCACACTAAATTAAACATGAGGATGGCTCTTTCCTGCTATTGCCTAGATACATGTCAAGTTACAAGAACACTACTATCAGCCAGGCATAGTGGAATATGCCTATAATCCCAGCGATTTGAGAGGCTGAAGCAGGATTCTAAGTTCAAGGCCAGCCTTGGAAATTTAGCAAGACCTTCAGCACCTTATCAAAATCCTGTCTCAAAATAAAAAAATATGGGCTGGAGAGGTGGCTCAGTGGTAGAATAGCCCTGGGTTCAATCCCCAGTGCCAAAAACAAAAACAAAAAGCAAAAACACTATTATCACAGTGGCTATGGAAAGCTGATCCTCATTTAGAAACATTAATAAAACAGTATTGCAACAAGAGTTGGCAAAAAAAGTGCAACACTTAGAAAAAGTGCTTTCTATAAAAATGATTCCCTTTAAGATGTTTCTTTACTGCACACACTTTAAGGCCTCCCTCC